AAATAATAGTAGCTTTTGGCAATCTATTTAATATACTGACTGCAAATTCCCCTTCCAATCTGAAGTAGTTTTATGTATGCAGAAAAGGTAGTAGTAATCTGGTAAATAGTTTTCCTCTATTTAAATCTTCATGCGTTCTGGCTTACTGACTTTTAGATTAGTGCAGGACTGGATAGCAAGTGGAAAATCCACTATCTAAATGAAGCATAGTCACTCAGTAGGCCACTGAAACTGGCATCTCTATAGTTGACATTTCTAAATGTAATAACTGCATATGCCTTGAAATTCAGCGCTCCAGTGCTTTGTTCTTTTCATCATGTCTAGAGTATGAGATCAGAACATAAAAATAGCTTCTTGTGTCACCTTCTTCTGAGAAGCCCATTAAAAAATAGAATATAATACCAGAGCCAGTAGGTAAAACTGAAGTAATTACATGATAGAAAGTTACATAAATACAGACAGATTTCCACAAATTATATCCAACAAAAAGTTAATAAATGCTGTTAAACTGAGTGCTCCATACACCAAGAGCACACATACAGTTCGAGAAACTTGACATTAATTGAATCCTGCATTAATCAGAAAGAAAAAAAAAAATCATTTTAGTTTTCATTTGGCAACTTTTGCAGGAGTTGCATATATTAGCCTCTAATTAAGCACCTCTTGGCAGTACTTTGGTGCTTTTTCGATAAGTGGCAGTTATGTTAATTCTATCCTTATTAAGCAAATGTCTATGCCATTCACTGTCGTTAGGTTATCTGGGTAGATACCCAAATAAAACAGTATGCAAATTAAATTTATCCCAATTAAAAGGAGTTTATGGTAATTGTAACACCTTCCAATAACTTTCTCACAGCAGGAAATACTTTTTTGTGAGCTCTAGAATTTCAGATGAAGAAAATCATCCTTCAGAAGCCACACTAATGCAGGGATCCTGTTTGCAAAATGGGCCGGGGCCTCTGGAGACTTTCTTGTGAGTGGTACTGTGATACTGAAGGGAGGAACAGAAGAGAATGCACATGGTTATAGAATTGGTTTGTTTAGAACAGACAGTTCTGCTCAGCTCTACACATGCAGTTCCTCTGCCCCAAACGCATCACGATATACCAGAATAGCACCATCCTCACCGAGACCATTAAACAGACCATTCATCGCTATAGGGATTCACAATATCAGGTTTTTTAAGAATATGGATAACTGTGGAACATTGTGGTAAAGCTAAAAGCAGCTGTGGAAAAACAAACAAACAAACAAACCCCACACAACTTAATTAAAATAAGTAATAGAGAATTGATGTCTTTAAAATCATAGATATTAAAATTATCATATAATTTGTGAACAAATATGTTAGCAGTCCTGCAAAATGTCTGTGTAATTGTGCAGGAATATATAATTGTTCTTCTTTGGGTACATTATAATGGGCAGCAGTACATAGAAAGCAAATTAACAAACAGATTTGGAACAATAAACACCAGACTCTAACTACTTAATATGAAGGGATGGTAAATTGCATAAAGAAATGCTTCACAGGACTAGGAGGACAAATCAATATCATGGCATAAACCGAAAAGAGTATTCCTAGAATATGTAATTGACACTGTTTACTGAAATCTCCACATTACAAAAATACCGAATAAAAGCTTAATACATGGGAATGGGAATAAAGCTGACTACAAAAGAACACCTGGGATTTAGCAGGTTTGCAGGTTGAAAAACTGAATGCGAAAGACAAACAATAATATATTATGTCTAAGAAATTTGGAAGTATTATCCCAGATTTCCAGTTTCACTTATATATATATGTATATATATGCCTTTCTGAACCAAAGAAAAGCTGAATGAAAATATCTTCTGCCACAGTGCATAACATCTCACAAATCTGTCCATAAAAAGTTCATATTAATATATCTTATGAAGGGATAATATCCCTAACATATTAAAAATTGTCAAAAAAATAATACCTTTAAAAAAATCCTATTAAAATAAATGTCCAAAATGCTAACTTACATACATTTTACAGGTAATAGAATTGCTACTGCAGAGATAAAAAATTGAAAAAAAAATATTACAGAAATATGCTAGAAGTTAATAAAATTAACAGAGTTAAGAAAAATGCAAATCAAATTTATATTGGTCCCTAAGAAACAGTAAATTCTGAAGTTTTTAGTTGTTACTGGTAACCACAGAAAAATGTAGGAAAAAAACCCAAACAAACCCTAGGTGATTTTGTTCTCAAAGATGCCAATGGTAGTTCAAAACACAGAACATTTTGAGGTTTTTGTTTTGTTCTAAGACTGCAGAAGTTAAAACCTCATGAAAAGGATTCTCTGGTGTTGACTACTGAAAGCACACACAATGCTGTAGCAATTTGATCCTGAGGCTCATTTATGCCAGGTACTGGCTGGCTGCAGAACTGGAGAAGTAGGATGCAGACACGCTCAGGCTGATCTGACATGCACAGCTGCATTTTTTTAAATTTCTCCCTCTCGCCCCCATTCTTCATTTCTCCTCTGCACAGCCATTTCTGCATCACGGATCATCCTTACCAGATCTCAGACAAAATGCTCAGCTCTTCAGCTGTTTTAAACCAAGGTGTCATAATTAACACTGGGTGTAACTGTAACTGATAATCAATTCTGAAAAAGGGTACAAAATTAATAGCAGTTTGAAGCCATAGCCCTTCCCAAATGAAACACTCTATTCATTTCAGCCACCTGCTGTCTCCTGATACCCTTGGCACTTAAGTATCTCATTCCTGTCAGCATACCTCTGTCCTGGGCAAGCTCACTATCCTACCTGTGCTGCTACACTGTCATTCCTGCATTGTAACCCAGCCTGGTCACAGAGCTTATCTTACTGGCACTGTGCCACCATGTCATTTCTGAGTGGGAGGAACAACCTGAAAGGATACCACAGACTTGTGAGGAAGGGTGCAGGGAAGTGTCAGGGAGCAGAGAGACAGCTACTTTCTTCACTACTGAAATCTTTCTCAAGCTAGTGCCCTCCAAAAATACTTTGCATAATAGACAAGTCGCTCTTAGTGTGGAGATTTGTGCTCCTGTGTCTACCACAAATGTAACAGGATGACATTTTGGTCCAACACCAAGGAATACTACACTGCTAACTGTAAAAGCAATTTGGGAATAATACAAATTGGTTTGAAACTAATTATCCTCTGTAAACATGATAAATAAAAGGCAACAAACCCCGCAGAATTGGTAAAGATCCCCTATACCACCTTTACAATTAGCCACATTTAGGTTTTTTCAGTGTGTTGATTGTACCTTCTGATCTAACTGCTAAAATTATTACAATACTTAAGGTAATAAAACAACTTCAGCCTCTATGCTCTAATCAGTCATTTGCTGGCACATCATGTAAAAGTCTCTCAGCTCATCTCAAACAAAAGCTACCATAACTCAGAGAAGCAGACATATTGTTATAAAATTATGAGTTTCCACAAGATATTACCTATTTACTGTACATGTACTGAAAGGAATACTCTTGCAAATAAAGACTACAGATCAAGAATTGAAGTACAACACATATTTAAGATAAAAGCTAGCAGCAGCTATGAGAAAAGCATAAATTTATTTAAGATGGGTGAAACACAATCGCCTTTGAACATTCATGATTCACTCATTTTAAAAGTATATTTCCAATTCTTACTCACTTGTTAGTTTAATAAAATTTGAGGTGAATGTATAATAGATTATACTTTACTGTGAAAATGGCTTTTTACAATTTATTTTACATAATTTTCTTTTTAAGGGTTCTATCTGAGGATTAATTAAGTTGCATTGCATTAAAAATATTTTCCTTTTTTTCCTTTTTCTTTTTTTAACGAGTTACTGGAAAATGCTCTCCAATGTAGGGTAATCAATTCAGGGGTCAAATTCTGCTGCTTGTTACACATCATGCATAATATCTAAGTCTAAAAGCAGTCAGAAGTTACTTCAGTGAGTTCACATGCAAGGGTAACATTAAACTGGTAACAATAGTAAAGCTGTCAATAAAAAGGAAGTAGTCTAATGAAGGCAACACATTTTTAAAACTTATGCCATTTAAGCTATTAAGGGCTCTGGCAAATAAATTCTGCAAAAATCTTCCTGGAGAGATCATGCAGTCATCACACCAACCACCTACCCACTCTCTTTTTGGATATCACCACCTCTTTTACATGACAGTAAAAGTGGACATTTCATGTTATTCCCTTGGAAAAAAGAAAACAAACAACAGAAAAACAAAACAAAACACCATATTTTTCCTACTCCAGCTGTTTCAGTTACTTAGTAAGTCACTTAATATAAGAGCTGTAGTTGAGATTTTATAGCCATTGCGTACAACTCCATCCTGAGTAAGATATTGCATGGAAGGAAGGAGAAGAACCCCAAACACCAGCAGCATTGAAGTCTTGCTTAGCAATAATTTATTCAGTTTGCCTCAAATGGCTGAGGCCACAGTGTGATGATGAAATGCTACAGATAAACAATCATTTCATCATATATATGTAGACTATCTGTATGGGACATTGATCCACTATTGTGATAAACTAAATTCAGTCAATAGGTCACAGTCAAATTGAAAATCAAATGTCTGAAATACAAATGCCCATGTACATCTGGTCTCCAAGCCATCATTTCATTTTTTACATATTTTTACAAACCAATAAATAAAATTAATAAATTTCACTCCATCAACATCCCTTTTATTGTGATTCCTACACTTCTCTTGTGGAAGAAACCATGTGTAAAAAATGCCAAAATAAGACTGCCAAGTATCACTGTCTGTTGAACTATGAAATGGGCAGCACACATGAAACCACAACCTGCAGCGCTACAGAAACTTATCCTATGATATTCTGGAGAACATCTCTCCCAAAATAGCACCCCCTTCTAATCCGTTGCCTCTTCCTCTTCATACACTCTTCTCCCCCAAAAACCCACATCTACTTCTTACCAATAACTTTTAACACACATTCTCTTGATGTCTTCTAATAGGAAACAGACAGTGAGAGAAATTCACCTTCATCAGCATTAAAGAGTCATCCTGGGAGCCATTCTGTCAATTCTCCAAAGGAGTCTAGTGTGAAGAGAGGGAGAGCAATCTTTGAAAAGATGTCATCAGAAAATGGCCACAGGAAGAGGTCTGAAGGTTAGCATTACCATGTTGATCTATTGTCCTGCTTCACTCTAAGACAGTGGTTTCCTAATCTTTTCAATGATGTACCCCTATCAGACCCAGCATGCACACCCAATGTTTGTATCTGTGTTTATCTATAAATCGTATACATATCTACTCCACTAATACATCCTGTATATTAGCCAACATAGACACAAACAGATATTAAAAAAGGAGGATGGATGAATATTTTTAAAAAATATTTTCCTTTAAAAAGTGTTTATTTACCAAAAAAATATTTTCTTTTTGCACCCCAATTGACTGTCTTGCACCCTCTGGGGTGCACACATCTCACTTTGGAGACCACTGCCTGATGTTATCAGTGTATGTATCTGTGGTTTTGTTTGTTCAAACAGAAGAAGAACATGGATGATAAAATTTTCTGACAGAAAGTCACTTACTTACTTCTGAGTGCCTAGGACTTGACTTCATGTAAAACTACAGATTACACAAATAAATAGCACAAAATGTTTTGTCCACTCTGCCATCTTAATTATATCAACCAGCTGCTGACTCCACTATTTTTTTGATCAGAAGATATCTAGCCTGCGTGTTTAGCAATTCCAGACTCCAGCAGATCAAAGGGAAAAGGAAATCCCAGGGCACAAAACATTTTATAGCTAATGCAACTATGTTTATTATGCTCATCATGCAAACTAAATACCTGATCTTTTATCAGGCTTAACTATCAGCCATTGTGTACCTTTTTTTCCTTTTTCTCCTACAAATTTAAAGAGATCTTTAACACCTGCTTATTTCTTCTTGTAAGGATGATTATCCTCGCTGACCAGACCACTTCTGTCAATTAGACATAGCTGCAATTCTCCATGTGGGAGTATTTTCTGTGGGTCTTCTCTAAATCTTCTCTAGTTTTTCAGGTATCTTTTTATCTTCTGTTTGTAAGGACCTTAATTTTTTTCCTTCTCCTGGTTAAAAGCCTTTTTTTTCTCTCTCTAACAAGAGAATGGACCCTGAATTCCATACCCACTTTGCCTCTAAGTCAGTCACAGTACGTTTCAGAAGCATTTTTTAGTCCACCAGGAATTACAAGGGATATGAAATATGCGAAAATGCACAGTCAACAATTCATGCCTCTTACAAACGAAGCTTTTTCTAAAAATGTGACAGACCCATAGGGTACAATGTTCTTCTGTGCTCCTGTGAGAACCGTAATACCCAATTTTACATTCAGACAGTCTTATGAGAAGTAAATTCCCTATAGAGTCATTTGAGTGTTTGAAAGCACTGATGAAAACTCTTAAACTTCTAATAGCTGAAGTTAGGTACTGAAATCTGCAACTCTGCACTTGAATAAATATACAAGTCCTGAAAAATATAAGACCATGCTGATCCATAGATTATTTCTCCCATCACTATGAGTTTTGACTTTTCTATACCCAGTGACAATATATGTCAATATATGTCAAAAGCAATACCCTTATACTACTAAAGAGATTTAGATAAAGAGATGGAGATTTTTGGTAAATATTGCAATTATGCCAAAAACTTATTTTCCTAGAAGAAGTATTAAATACCATTTACAGCAAGGTCTATGGGTGCTTACCAACAATTTCTACTGTCACCACTGAAAAACAAGGAAGGCAATGCTCATACTACTGTTCAACCTAATGTGAAAACCAGGAGAGCCCATAAGGGATAGCTAATGTACTGACATTGTTGGAAAAAAAGGCAGAAATCCAGAATTCTCCAGTCCTATTAGGCATGGAAGATTTGTCAAGCTCCATTTACTTTACAGAATTGATGTAACTTGTCATTAATGAAAGAATTAAATTCTTGGAAAGAGATACTATTGTACAAGTCCCACTTAACAAAGGCAAAAAGCTTTTTGTTGACTTACTTCATCCTAGTAAACATTAGGCTCTTCTTACAAAATATTTCGTCACAAGCCCACATTTATATCTGAAGAATCAGAAGATATTGCAGCTCTAAGTCCCTTTGAATGAGCAAAAGCTTAAAGCAAAATGAGCAAAAGCTCAGATCATATAACCTCATACCACCACAAAAAGTTTCACATTATTGCACAACTAGCTTCTAAAGAGATGGCATTTCCTGTTTTAAAGCTAACAAGAGAATAGTTGCTATTACCTTCACTCCCCAGGTGGCTAATAATATGTATCTATTAAAATGTTTTTTAAAACAGTCCATTAAATTCGTTGGCCCCAAATCAGTAAGGATTTAATCACGTCTAACTTTAAGCACATGAGTATTCCCATTGTGCTTAATGAAACTATTAACATGCTTATGATTAGGTAGAATCCAAGACTCCCTTATAGAATCAAAACAATAACAAGAAAGTTTTTAAAATGCTAAACATTCTTCAAAATTAAACCAATGGCCTACAAATCTCATGCTGGCAGTAGCCCTACATTATTCACTTAGCCTTTAAAAATAAAATAACACTCTTCGGTTAAGGATTAAAAACTTAGATTCTGGTGGTGTTACTAAAATAGATCTTTTTGAAGTCTTGAAATTCCCTTCCCTCCCAAGAAGTATGGGAGTGCCATTCCTCCCATAACATTCAATCCAATGTTTCAGGCACTGTAGAAAAATCTTGCCAGGATAAGAGGGACTTCCAGCCTGTGGTTTTATATGAAACCTTTTCTGCCTGTGATCACAGACAAGAGATAACAAGAAAGAATAATACCTTTACTCTAAATTTAAGGTATTTTTCTGGGAATTCTTTTAACACTGTCATCCAAATGTAGAAAGCAACAACAACAAAAAAGAATCCTAGAGCTAGTAACTCAGTTGCTGCTCTTTCAGGAGTATTCTGAACTGTTGTCTCCACATTCATTGTGGCTGAATTGCAGGTGCTTTAAAATAAGTCTACAACCTTCACATGACAAAATAAGGTTAACATGTAGTTTGTAATTTAGATAATTTTTAATTAGGTTTTAGTAGCACTAAACTGACTAAAACATACTCCAATGAAACATCAGTAAACAACTGAGCTCTACAATAAACTTGGAATGATGCCTGTTTGTACTTACAGTGGGTTCTCTCAGACCAGTAAGAGGACTATCTACAGAGAGCGCTCCCATGGCTGATAACACACCACTGGACTCCCAGGAGACTGTCTCCTTGAAAGAAAGAATGGCTTTGTACAAGGCTGCTGTGTCCAACAGAGACAGCAGCAACTCCTTCACTCATGTAAGACATCAATGGTTCCTTATCTTAGCTCCGTGTTTGCTTTGCATAGTGACATATCCTACATTCTTTATTTAAACAAGCTGACTGATTAACTACTATGAGGATCAAAATTTGAAACTAAATCTACCTAGCAAACATATTGAATTCTCATGAAAAATGAGATTTTTTCATGCTTTGGTCATTTGCATGATTGCCTTTAATTCACTGGAAGGATTGTTCTTTTTATTCCACTACTGCATGAACTGCATTTACTAGGACCATAGGCTTGAGAAAAAATAGCAATAGTTATTCTTTCAGCTCATAATGACAAACCCCAGCAGTTTCTGTATTACTGAAAATATTACAAAATAATAAAATTATATTCCAAAGCACATTAAATCTAAACCTCTTGCTGTTCAAACTAAATAACTTGAAATTGCTGCATTTTAAAACAGCAGCTCTGTGTGACAAGGTGTATGAAAAAAAGTATTGTTTCATTAAGAATATATTTTTAAATGGGCATTATATGAAAAAATATTTAGAAAACCATTTTTTAATTTTGTTGTACTCATCTCTACATGTCTGTCAATAGGGATTAGGTATTTTAAAGCAAAGTTTAAAATGAATACCAAGTAGCATATAAAGAGTTTGGCTAACAGAATTTATAATATATTAAAATAGAGCAAGATCACTTTACCACATCCTTATGTATCAGTCAGAAACATCTTAAAATCAGGTCTTCAGGTCTTAGCCGGGGAAATCAAGAAAATCTGCCTCAGTTTTGCAGAAATACTTAGGGGGGGAAAAGTGTATTTTTACCATATCTTAAAATCCTACCTAGAAGTTGTAGCTGAGCACCCTCATATCAGGAAATGGAAGCATTATACTGCCTTGCTACAATGTTAGAATCTTTGTTTACACTAAACTTGCAGCACATAGAAAGAACACCCTTTTCTTACTGTATACTAGGCCAGAGTAATTCCTGTAAATCAGAACTATAACAGGGGCCCTACAGGTAAGGACATTCTTGTGACCTTTGGCAGCACTGTTACTGAAGAAAGATCATCTCACAAAGGCCTGCTTGAAGGTCTCTCCATACTTTTCAACAATATCTACTGAAAAACTACAGAGGTCCAGGTGGCAACTCAGAATGCAACAGAACTCAGGACAGACAAGTAGAAGAGGGAACAGCAGAGAAGGATTGCTCTAGAAAGTGATTGCTACTGACAATCAAGTAGATGGGACCTACTCCTTTTGGTGCTAAAGATTCAAGCCAAATACGCACATTTTTCAAATATACATTGGCCTTTAGTTCTGCATATCTCAATACATGGCTCCTGTGCAGTCATCTGTGAACCTGCCAGAAACACTATCTATGGTTATCTGGGTCATTCTTGCAAAGATGGGTGTTATTTAGCAGAAAATACACTACTGAGGCCTCAAACTACAGAGGAAACCACTGAGTCCTCAGAAACTAGTTTAGGCAGAAAAGAATATGCAGCTACACTAGTAGCTATTTTACACAGGAGCATTTAGCAACTAGTGTTAAATAAATTCTAGATTCATCATTTGTAGGTCCTAATTTTTGGTTGGCAAGTAAAAGTCCTAAATTGGGCAAATGAGATTCAACAGTTAATATTAACAGTACGTATATGTTTTGTATTTTGATGGCAATGCCTGAAAAAAAAGCATCTTACTTAGCACCATATCTATTCTGCATGCTAATGTTCATTCATGTGTACTATTAAAATAAGTAGGGTTTACAGATTACATGAGTGGAAGTTGCCTACAGGAGACATAACCAAGTGTTACCAAATTTTCTATTTGAAATTTATAAGCATTATAGCATAATGTTATTAACTACTTTAAAAAAAAAATAATAAAATCAGCTCATAGAAGTACATTCTCAGTTCAAATGGAAAACAACTTGCCTCATTTTATCTCTCTAGACTTCTGAGAAAACCAAGTTCTGCACAGTGCCTGGCGGCCTGGCAGCAGTGAGGAAACAATTTGAGAAAGTGCGGATGATTTCTTTACAAAAGACCTTTCCTCGGTACCAGCAGAAACCTGTACAGGTAACAACAGAATTTCTAATACTAAACAAATGAGGTATGCCTGGCTAGGCAACTTGAGGAAAAAATATGATTTTTTGCACTACTGAAGAGTTTTCATTATGAATAAAATGTTTCCCTACCGTCCCTGCTCACAGAATTTTCTCTTTGGGATATTACTACAGGAATTGTATTTCTTTATGCAGACAAACACTCAATATAGACAATACTGGACTTACAGCAAATACATTATTAAGGCAGATTACTACCAAGGCAGTATTTTATAATGGACATTTTCTATTAGGCTGTAATTCATTATCAAGTATCATCGTGATATTTTGCATATATTGCACTTGATGTGAAGTTAAGCCACTCTCTGAAGGAGCTTCCTGCTTCCATTGAATAAAATCTGATCAACTCCCATAAACAGAGGAAAAAATTGCACTGAAAACCCAGATGCTACACAAAAGTAGAACAAAGCACCAGCTAAGCATTATTTGAGATAAAAGGTCTTTACATTTTATTAGTTTGTTAGCACATATCATGAAAAATTGTTGTAGGAGATAATGATTTTGGATTTATGAAATCTCCTATCATAAAACACACAGCACAATCTGTCCTGTGCACTCTGAAAACCAGTAATGACTCACTAAATTGCTTTGCCATCCTGCACGTCTTGGAGAGATTTTTAAGAAATATTGCTCTCCAGGTTTGCAGAACAGGGCACATCAGCATTCTGCCATAGGTTTGTTTGTGTCTTAAATACGTATCATCGTATCTACCAGTCATCTCTTCTTTCTTACACATGAATGCCAATATCAACAATTTGCATAGACAACAAGCAAAATTTCAGTTTTTAAGGAAGAAGACACAGTTTGTTGCAGATGTATTAAAGCATTTTAAACCATGAAGAAAAATCTCCAAATAGTTGGACATAACCACACTGGAGCATAATCCTTGATAATAGGACATGCTATGCACATATTTCTCTGATGACATGATCCAACCTAGCTGCCGTTTATCTGGATGAAGAAATGCAGACGTGTACAGAAGTTATGTGACTTTTTCTCTGACCTAGAACCAAATAATTTCATTTCTGTGATGTGAAGATGCATTTTCCCTGGCCCAGTAGTTACATTTAGTTCTCCTCAAAGCCACTATGATAGTTCTACTTCAACAAAGATGTGACCTCTAAGCATACTTATCCATGTATTTGTCCTCTGTGGCTAGTTGAGGAGGCTCTCAAATCATCAGCAGAATTAGTCAAGTTCACAGGAAATAAAATCACTCAGACTACATGGAACAATATTTAAATTTAGGTTAAATAACCTATTGCAAGATCATAACATTCCATTTCTATATAATGTAACTGCACTCTCATGGAAAATGGGATTACACACTTAGGTAGTTGAAAGATTATTCAAGGTCACCAAATAAACCCCAGGGTAAAACTGAGAAATCATATAGTTTGAAGACAGATCTCCAGATCTGGATAAATTCAAACTATTAACCCAAGTTAATATAAAGAAGCAATTTTTTTTAACAGTAAGCTAAATAGGTGAACATTTTGCTGCACCTTCAGGTATTGCATACAAAGTGCACAACTTTTCATTCAAAATATTGACATCAAATATGCTACTGATAACTATTTATCTTTCTGTTTCTTCTCAGGAAGCTATCACTCATAGCTCTCTTCATTGTAAGGTAAACTGGTGCCTTGTCAAAGGCACCATATTACTAGCAAGATGCACTAAACCAGAATGGTGAGCAGCAATGAAAACTGATCACAGAATTGCCACATGCTCAAACACTCAACCAGAAGTTTGTTTAGTGACATGATATTTAATTTGACAACCTTTATGGCCTTTTATGGTCAGCCACCAAGCTGAGAAGAGGTCATGAGTTTTGATGTTACTCCTTCGCAAATGCTGGCCAGGAGTGGTTTGCTACACCAGCTCAGCTAACAAGGTGCTCAGACAAAGTCTCACTGGCCAATGTCAGAAACAAGCCATTTCTGGCAAGTGAACTGAACCTTCTATAGAGTAAGGACAAGTATCTGATATTCACTCAATAATATGGTATCTTGTGTCAGGAATGACACAGGTATAGCAATATCTCCTTCATTTGTGGGTCATTCCAGGCAATTTTTTTTAGACTGCTCATGTAGCAATTGGCAATTTTCTAGCAACTGCAGAGGATAAGATTAAATAACAGGAAAACATTAGTGAATGGTAAAAACCTTACCTTTTAGTAAAAATCTTCCAAATAGTGCCCAAAACACCCTAAGTATACACAGGCAACTAAGCATGGCTGACAAATCATGCAGATGAAGTACAGATAAGTGAAGCTCTTACTCACAGACTTATAGATTCTCAAAGTACTGATGTGCAGATGATACCACAGTACAAACATAAACTGGAAAAAAACATAACTTTGGGAAAGAAATTAAGATCCACACCAAGTAAATAATCAGTCAGTCATTCATTCCATTGTTACTAATTTTGTAACTGAAGCTTTAAGGTCAGTATTTACTTTCCACTGCTGCCTAAAGAGAGCTGCCATTTTGTACATACTGATCATTTAGAACCATAACTTCTAAAAAAGCCAATACATAAACAATTGGCCAACTTCCCACATAGCCAATATGATGACCATAATGCACATTTCAACTAAAAGCAACATGTATCAAGTGTGAGGGAGTACAAGGCTCTCTTGTACTTGAACAAGCTTTTGGGCCATTTGATCTCCTTGAACAATATATACATAGATACATATAGAATTGTATATATGTTTTATCTACACATGAACACAGCCTCAATGCAATTTTATTTTTGAAAGGGAAAGTATGTTTCGGCTGTTCTCAGAACAGAAGGAAATTGCAACATAAAAAAGCAAGCCTTGGTCTAAAATACACAAAAGTTACTGAAATTCAAATCTTTGCACATTTTGAAAAAAGAATTCTATCAAAATTATTGCAGCACAGAGGCACTAGAATTGATGGATGGGCCACTAACATAAAATGCATGTAGCAATTACAGTTCTCTTCAGTAACAGAATATGAATGTCTACATAAAAATGCACTCCTCTAACAAAACGTATACATTTATTCTCAGATTTGCATTTTTGGTTTTTAAATGGTACTGTGTTAGGTTAGAATTACTAATTGTACAGAGACACAAGAAGACACTAGAGCCCTCTGTCTGAAGTAACATACAGATATGCATGGGAAGGCCAGCAGCCCTCATAAAGTGTGGCTTGAAACAGACCTAAGAAAATGAAGGGTGACTGGAAGTTTTAAATAAAAATAAAATTACCTTAAGAAACCATTTGTGAGCTAGAAGTATACCAACAACTACTCAGCAGACAGTGTTTTCTGAAGCTCATTCATGATATGGCATAGAATAAACAAAAAGTAAATGAAAGGTGATTCTTGGGCCACAGGAAAAACGACTGAAATAGCTGTCTTTCCACTCATGCCACCAAAAATTAATCTGAGTTCCTGCTCTGTCCTGCCGTCCTGCACAGCTGCACAGTTCTCTCCTGACACCATGATGCTGAATCTAGTTGCTTAAATAACCTTTCTTGATTTAATAATTCACAGTACAGCAGCAATTGTATACTCCACAGAAAAATACAGGGATCAAGTTCCCACAAGCATAACTCTTAACTGGCATTAAATCTAGGTCATAATCTTCAGCCACAGTCCTGTATGGGAGGTGCAATTTACACTGCTCAGTAAGAGCAACCTTATCCCACGCAGGCCATCAAATAATTCTACAAAATATACTCCAAAATCTTTGGGGTCTACAAAACATTCCAAAAATTAATGGAGTGTGGTAGGCTGACCCTGGCTGGATGTTAGGTCCTCACCAGAGCCACTCTATCACTCCCCTCCTCTGCTGGACAGGGGAGATAAAAATATAACAAAAGACTCATGGGTTGAGATAAGGACAGGATGAGATCACTCACCAATTACCATCACAAGCAAAATAGCCTCAACTTGGGAAAATTAGTTTAATTTATTATCAATCAAATCAGAGCAGGGTAATGCAAAATAAAACCAAATCTTAAAAATACCTTTCCCCACTCCTTCCTTCTTCCCAGGCTTAACTTCACTCCCAATTTGTCTACCAGTGGCACAGAGGGGTGGGGAAGGAGGGTTAAGGTCTGTTTGTCACAAATAGTTTACTGCTGCTCCTTTCTACTCGGGGGAGGACTCCTCACACTCTTCCCCTGGTCCAGTGTAGGATTCCTCCCACAGGAGACAGCCCTCCACAAACTTCTGCAATGCGAGTCCTTCCCATGGGCTGCAGTTCCTCATGAACTGCTGCTTCATGGGTCCCTTTCATGGGGTCACAGCCTCCTTTGGGCACATCCACCTGCTTCGACATGGGGTACTCCACAGGCTGCAGGTGGATATCTACTCCACCATTGACCTCCATGGGTTGCAGAGGGACCAACTGCCTCACCATGGTCTTCACTGTGGGCTTCAGGGGAAACTCCACTCTGGTCCTTGGAGTGCCTCCTCCCCCTTTTCTTCACTGACCTTGTTTCTCTCACCTCTTCTCACTACTCTCTCTTGCTGCAATTTTTTTTTCCTTCTTAAATATGTTATCACCAAGGTGCTACCACCATCACTGATGGCTTTGGCTTTGGCAAGCAGCAGGTCCATCTTGAAGCCAGTTGGCATTGGCTCTGTTGGACAGAGGGGAAGCTTCTAGTTAGAAGGGAGGTTACCCCAGTAGCCTCACCCCACTTCAAAAGCCTTACCATGCAAATTCAATACATGGGGTATACTACAGGGTATCCTATCCTGTATCCAACACTTGGCCTTTACCAAGGAGAGAGGAAAACACAGGTCTTCCTGCTCTCCACTTGTTTGAAATAATAAACAAGCACCGTTTTACTCTGACATTGGGATTTCAGTTAGCCATCTTTACAGACACAGAAAACATAAGAACCTCCAAGTCTTTCTTCCTCCCTGCATGCCCAGAGAAAGGCCATGTAATTATACTGTCAAAATCTGTCCCATAATGTTTAGGCTGCATGTTAGACTGCCATAGCTGTCGCATTAAACAATTATAATATTTTGCAATATGGCAACTACTTCCTAAGCAGTACCAAAGTTACAGCAATAAAGCAGCAGTGACATTCAGATTAGATTTGCTTCCTGACTACATTAAGCCTAATTATATCCCTTTTCAATACCCCACACCATTCAAAGGACCTGTAATGACTATCATGAATGAGCTTTTCCAGTAATAAGAGCTTGACTTACGTATCTAAAACATGCACATCAGAACAGATAAGCATATCTTAAATTAAAAAATCTTATATATGCATAAATATATTGAGCAACATACCCATATAAAATGAAAAGGTGTATTATACATACACCTACACAAAGTCATTCAACAGAGAATAGATGGAAAATTTGTACTTAATTTTCTTTGCACTGCCTCTTTTCATCTTGATGTAGGGTTAGCTACACATCTCCTCATGTTGTGCAGCTCTCTCACAACTGTTGCACCTACAGAACTTGCAAGTGAAAACCATGCTCAGACTTGCTCTCCTCAACCCTCATCTCACTTTGGCAGCTCAAACTTTACACTATATATGACTAATTTTGATACTGTTAATACACTAAATTATTTACTGGGCCAGCAATCCAAAAATTTCATATGGCTTTAATTCATCTTAGAGTTGAAACAGATGATTTAGCAGCAGAGAGGTGGAAGAAAATTCCTAAAGCTTATGATGGGAATGCATGCTGTTTCTTTGCCATAGATCCTAAGCCACTGCTGCCTACTGTATGGCAGAAATTAAGGGCAATACAGTGGAATTGTTAGTGATGATGTAAGCAGTATAAGCACTCCTTAGTTTGAAGGTGAAATAAATCCCATAAATATATGCTTTGTCATGGGATGACTAAGGCAAAGCTCAAATCTCTTGCCCCTCAGCTAACTGGAATTCAAGAAGGTGCCAGGACTTGACATGCCTAAGCTTACAGTTCTGCCTTGCACT